AGCCAACCTGAGGTTAAGTTTTTTTTAATGAATACATATGTCTTACTTTTAAATTATCTAAGTAATACAAATAGTTTTTTTTTTTTTTTTTTACACATGTCAATAACAAATGTGGAAGAAATTGAAACAAGCCCAGTGCTAAGGTTCAACTAACAGATTGAAGGGATAAAAGAAGCCCAGACATATTTCCATGTTTTTAATTTTAAGCGTGGATGCCAAGAAGGAGGTAGGCAGCAAACCAGGCTTTGATTTATATTCAAATGAGAAGTATACAGGGGGAAATTGGATTTCTCTTTCATTTCAGAGAATGAATTTCCTGGCTGCAGATTATATTGAATCATCTCGCAGCGTTAATATCCAGCTCTAAGCGTCAGGAGCAACTCCTCATTGCATAAGATTCAGGGGTACTTTTATACCTCCTTGCCACAGAATGCTGTTACGATTTCTCACTTCAACTCCGATGTTGAAACAATAACCGCCCCAGGCTATTTAAGACATTTCCACCCATTTAATTTACACATGAAAGGCGATAATATATCAAAGGAGTCCTGCTTTAGGTTCTTGTCTCTGTTCTACGTCCCCGTATGTCAACACAGTGGACTAATTCTGTGGCTCTGTGGGAAACGAGGACTCTTACACAAGTGGAACGGGTATCAAGATGATGTACTCTGATTAAAAATTTAACAATGCAGAAAACCCCAGTCACACTGTGTTGGCTCCAATTAAAAATAGGTTTACAGAATAATGACCAATTAAAAAAAAAGAGCTCTTTTAAATTATTATACCAGAATAGGAACAATGCCATCCCTTCAATCAGAAAAATGAAAATACCTGATCTGGTTAACTTTAAGACAGCAAAGATGCAGTATAAAGCCAGTTACCTGTGATGCATGCTGTTTGCAAAAAAAGTCTTATATTAACAATAAATCGAGATCAGTATTCTTCATTCAAGCAGCTTTTAATAATCCTGGCAAATGAGAACAGACACAGTCTTCACTAAATGTTTCTCCTTTTCTGGTAGCATATAAATGTACACTTATTTAAAAACGTACACTTAGTTATACTGAAATTAGTCTTCCAGGCCTACCAAGATTATTTCATCATAGCAAAAGTATATTTTTCAGGAAGTCAAAATGCTACTTTAAGTATACTTCAAAGTAAACTTAAAATGGACCAATTTAGTGGAGAAGTGTATATTTCAATAAACGTATACATAGCTTTTTTTCTAGAGAACATGAACTTGAAGTATACCTAGTTTTGGTAAGTGAACGACTGACTTAAAGGTATTGTGGAGGATTTTTGCGAATTTTTAAAAGACTCCACCTTAAAAAAAAAAGCACATGCACGACCCTAAAATTGGCAACTGTTTAAAAGTTGCTGTTCTTATAGCTCATCCAAGGTTACTGTGTCCAAACGTCCGCTCTAACCCCTAAATCCCTCAATCACTATATAGAGCAGAGACTATATAGTGGACTTTATAGTGAACTCAGTTAACTTACCTTTGAACAGATGATCACTGCTTTTTTTTCTCCATTGGTCATGTAACTCCTCCTCCACCACGCGGTGCCTGGGCCATCTTTGTTATTAGTCGCCGCTGTGACAGCAAATCCCATAATGCTTTGTGAGGAGAACTCTCGGTGCAAAGCATTCTGGGATATATCTGCCTCCTCTGAGGCCTTTCTTTGCCTCTCATACACTCATATGAAAAAGTTTGGGCACCCCTATTAATCTGAATTATTTTTATTTCTAAATATTTAGGTGTTTGCAGCAGCTATTTCAGTTTGATATATCTTATAACCGATGGACACAGTAATGTTTAAGTATTGAATGGAGGTTTATTGGACTAACAGAAAATGTGCAGTATGCATTAAAACTAAACTTCACAGGTGCAAAAATGTGGGAACCCTAATCATTTTACTGATTTGAATACCCTTAACTAATTTTAACTAATTTTCTCCGACTTACTGACAAAATTGGGTTAATAACTTCATTAAGATTTGAACTTCATAGCCAGGTGTATCCAATCGTGAGAAAATGTATTTAAGGTGGCCCATTGAAAGTCGTTCTCCTGTTTGAATCTCCTTTGAAGATTCATCATGAGCACCTCAAAACAACAAAAAAGATTGTTCAACATCGTCGTCCAGGGCAAGGATACCAAAAGCTCTCAGATACTTAAACTGTCAGATTCAACTGTGAACCATAGGAAGGAAATAGAAGAAAATAGAAGACAGGGACAGTTCTTGTTAAGCCCAGAAGTGGCAGACAAAGAAAAATATCAGAGAGGCAGAGAAGAAGAATTGTGAGAATGGTCAATCCACGGACCACCTCCAAAGACCTGCAGCATCATCACGCTGCAGATGGTGTCACTCTGCATCGTTCAACAATTTAGCGTACTTTGCACCAGGAGAAGCTGTGTGGGGGAGTGATGCAACAGAAGCCTTTTCTGCAAGCACGACACAAACAGAATCGCTTGAGGTTTGCAAAAGCACATTTTGACAAGCTAGCTTCATTTTGGAATAAGGAGCATATTCCAAAATGAAGCTGTGTTTTTTGGTCATTAAAAAAAAAGGCATAACGCCTTTTTTTTTTATGACTTGCTTCCTACTGTAAAATTAGGTGGAGGTTCCATCATGCTTTGGGGCTGCGTTGCCAATGCTGGCACTGGGAATCTTGTTAAAGTTGAGGGCCGCATGGATTCCACGTAATATCACCAGATTCATGAGAATAATGTTCAAGAATTGGTTACAAAGTTGAAGCTACGGTGGGAATGTATATTTCAGCAATTATCCAAAACACTGCTCCAAATCTACTCAGGCATTCATGCAGAGGAACAATTACAATGTTGTGGAATGGCCATCCCAATCCCCAGACCTGAATATCATTGAACATCTGTGGGATGATTTGAAGCAGGCCGTCCATGCTTAGCGACCATCAAACTTAACTGAACTGGAAATGTTTCTAAGAGGGTTGTCAAAAGTCCCTTCACCCAGGATCCAGGAAGTCATTAAAGGTGCAGAAAGCGACTAGAGGCTGTTGTTTGTGCAGAAGGATGAACTACCAAATATTAATTTTTCTTTTTTGCTGAGGTGCCAATTTTTTTGCTCCTGTCACATTTAGTTTTAATGCCTACTGCACATTTTCTGTTAGTCCAATAAACCTCAGTTCAATACTGAAATATTACTGCATCCATTATTAGATATATCAAACTGAAATGGCTGTAGCAAAAACCCAAATATTTAGAAATACAAATTAATAGGGGTGCCCAAACTTTTTGATATGACTGTACAATTTTCTCTTATGACCCTCGGCCATTTTCAAAGAACCATGGTGAGAAAGGTGAGTTTCAATGACTGTCTGAAACCGAAGTTCACCACAGATATACGCTGGAACGTGTGCATGTGTAGAAAAAGTTAATAATAATAATGGACAAGCACGTAGGATGGCCTCACATAAACATACCACCAGAATGACTGACAATTAGGAGGACCACTTCTTTAGATGATCCACCCGGAAATAAAAGATCATCCTCTATACCTTTAATGTCACATTTATGGGGATTTTCGTAAAAGTTTAAAAACATTCCACTGGACTTGGTTTGAAGACGTTTCGCTTCCCCTTCAGGAAGCTTTCTGATTTCAAATGTCTGGATCCGCAGTGAGTTTGAGGCTTTATATGCATCGATGGGGAGAACTGCTACAGTCAAAGTGAGAAAGTTTTACTTGAGCTGATGCGTGTAGCAGCCATTGGGCAGAGCAGCCTCCAACTTAGCAGCTCCAGACACATTTCCACTTGTAGCATGGATACTCCAGCTTCCAAGCAATAATGGGAAACTCTGTCTCCTGAGCTCTCCAGCTGGCTGCTCACCCTGATGTTACTGGATGTTTCCTCCATGAACTGGCGCAAGGCTGATGACTCAGGTTAGATCAGGTGTTCCAGTTGCTTCCATTACCTCTGCTACACAGAAAACATCCAGACTCCTTCTTTATCTTCTTAATGAATGGGTCATTGCCCCATTGGTTATGGCAGACCACAGTTGACCATGTGAGGTCAGAATCAGCAGCTTTCTCAGCTTTCCTCAAATGGCTTCAGGCTTCCTCACTTTGTCTGGTCTTCAGATCAGCTGACAGTGCATAGAAAGGCTCTGGAACTGATCTCTATGATGTACTTTACTTATTTACTGAGATGAGTGCTTCAGTTATATTCTAATTCATTGAATAGGATTATAGCATTATAGGTCATGCAGAAAACAGATTATTTGTCGCCACCTAGAGGAGGAAGTGACACTGAGGAGTTTCAGTTCTACAGTTCTTGCATAAAGAGAAATAACTGATATATTTGTTTTAAAGGCTTGAATTGAAACTAAAATAAGAAAACGGCCAATATTAACAGCATCACACCTTTGGATTTTTATACAGGTGCCACATATTGTCCTACGGTGACCCATTGTCACGTTTTGTCAGTTGGCTCCTGTGACTCAGCTGCTTTTTTTAAAATAAGAGCAATCTTTTCTTTTTTTTTAAGGCTACACTTTACTTTCTGACCAATCATCCTCAAGTTTTAGGGCTCTGCAACTTTGATATATCGGATAAAACTGTGATCAGTTTTAATGACTTGCTGAGGCGACTCCTGGCTAATGGAGCAGCCAAAAGGAATGAATCACACAGAAACTCCACTATTTCTGAAAGGTTTTTGTTTAATTGGGCCTGAATTGTTAGAATTAACTATTGTTCTTGGAACGCACTGTGACTCCACTCCTTTCAGTCCTGTTAGGGAGGATGAGTAAACCCACTGGATCTAGTTAGATAAAAGATGTTCCATTTGAATCATCTTCAACTAGTTGGTCTCAGCTTTTGTCCTACAGATTTCTTTTGTTTTGTATTTTTTGCTTAAATGAAGAGCTCAGCTGATACATAAATCAGTATTTCAATTAACTTAATTTTTAAGTGGGAAAAAAAACATTTAAACCTATTGAGGAGCGGGAGTATCAGTGAAAAAGGAATACAACTATTTCAAATAATAATGTGTTTTAATGAGAGCTTAAAACATGGATGGAGATCTTTGTGTTTAATGTTTTATATTTACCTTGGGGTTGATTAAATGTGCAAAGGCATTATCATTATTGCTCCATATAATTCTGAGAGCAAACAACTTCATATAAAACCATTCAAGTTAAATTCAATGAGTTCATTATAAGCAAACATCTGGTTCATGTCCATCATGACGTTCTCAGTTACTATGGAGGGAGTTTCGTTCCATTATCGTTGCAAGCAAAGAACACGCTATCTAAATGAAAATAAAGTTTGTAAATTAAAACTTAAAAATGCAATCCAGAAAAAAATAATTATCGAATAAAAAGGTTTTGAAAGTAACTTTGCTGTCTTTTTTAGCTTTTATTTTTTCAATATATTTCACATTTTATTTTTTCCAAGTTTATTTTTCAATTTGTTTTCTCTTTACAGATTATAGATTTAATTCTGTGAATTTCTGTTGTACATATTGAGTTTTACTAATTGCATTATTTTCTATTTGCATGTTTTACAGATGCCATCCTCTTCACTGCTCTGGACAGGCTTTCCTCTGGAGTGAGGAGTGAAGGACAAACAAAACATTGTTATTGGTCTACTGGACGTTAGCAACATTTTCATATGTCAATGTGTGCATCAGTGTTTGCATTGGGCTTGAAGTGAAAACACAGTTTATAAACAGTAGAATTTGTAAAACTCAATCTGAAAAACAGAACTATAAAATCTGTAACTTTTTCTTTGAAAAAGACAACATCTGAGAAACAGCAAATTTACTCTTAAAACCATTTTTTGATTCAAACGTGAAATTTCTAAATTACCTTTTCTGCTTATTTTATTTTTTTCAAAATGTGTTTTTTCAAATTTCCATTTACAAAAATACGTGTTCTTTGCTTGCAGCAACAAAAATGTAACAAAACTCACTCCATAATCAAGCCCACAACATTTTCAGGCAGATTGCAGCCCGGATCTGTGAAGCAACATGATCCACAAAGAAAATTAATGTATCTGTTCTTCAGCAGTGCTTTTTTTCCCCCCCAACATGATTTTATGGGGTTTCTATCCATGAGGAAGGTTTAAAAACGTCACCATTCCCTTCTGTGCGAAGGAAAGCATCTGGACGCTGCTATGTAATGCTACTAGTTCCATCTGACAATAAAGTAAATTAAAATGCGAGTCCACGAGGGTTTGATTCCAGCCAGCTACTTGGAGGCCGATTCTCCGTCTGGCCTCATGCTGAACGGCTCCAGGCGCTCGCTCTCTGGCAGCATGTTGTTGAGGCGCTCCATCAGGGGCACCGTCTGGTCTATCCCCATCTGGATGCGGCGCAGGATCATCGACATCTCGTTGACCTTCTGGATCTGCTCGGCGTATTTGGCGTAGCGTTTCTGACGCTCCTGCATTATGCTGAACAGGGCTTCCACCGACAAGTCCATCTGAAAGGATTGGATGAGATTGAAAATGTTCTGATGATTCTGACCGTCTGTAAATTCCTCCCCTTCTAAGTGAACTACAAACCTCTTTGATCCTTTTAACCAGAGCGTTCTGGTCAAAGGCCACGGCCTCAGCGCACTGATGCAAGTGGTCCTGGTATCGGATGCAGAGCTGCAGAACCTGGGCGGGGTCCAGCCTCTCCAGACAAACTGTGCTCGGGGACGTCTGACCACTCAGGACTCCTGTGGAGAGAAAAACAAGCAAAAAGTTGTTTTAATCAAAGAGGACCAGAAACATCTAAAGGTGTATGATAGTGTTAATACACCTGCTAAAGTCTTCAGTCACCTTTCAATGGTCCAATGGTTCCATTACTCTACTGTTTTGTTTGATTTTTTTAATAAATTTGTATTTCTTGTTTCAACAGAGACTTGTGTAACATCTATTATTGTTTCATTTATCATTTAAAGGGAAGAAGAAAAGCAATATCAACAGCTCCTATCAGGGAATAGTTAGCCTGATGCAAAATCATCCACCTTAAAATAAAAATTGGAAGGTCGATCTCTAATCAAAACACCTTCCTATTAATTTGTTCCACTCTCTGCATCTGTTGAAGAGAGCCCGCAGTATGACTCTGCCACCACCATGTTTCACCATACATTCTGTTAATCAGGGAGGGGTTTGGTTGTCATCTTGTGTGTAAACCAAATGTCACGTTTTGGTCTGAACTAAACGATTGCAGGGCTTTTCTTTTTTAGAAAGTGGTTTTAATTAATACCACCACTAATTGCTGACCTAATCCTCCTGAGTTGGGACTTTCTCCACCTCCTCCAGAGTAACAGCGGGTCTGTCTCCAGTTTCTCAGATTAAATCTCTGCCCTCAGGTCAATCTACAGTAGCAGCAATTCAAAATGGCCCGTCCCAGTCAAAGTCCAGCCGAAGGGCAGCCAACTTCTATGAAACTCCCAGCAAAATCCCCTCCAACTTCCAGCCACTGGAGTGACCCCCCTCCTTCTCCTAGACGTGCATATTTTTTACTCTGACTCCACACTTTCACTGAATTACAGGGTCTGACCAGGAGATGATGCTTCTCTTTAGATCTTAATGTCCACAAATTATGACACAAAGAACATTTTAGTACAAAGATTAATGTTTGAAAAGGAATTTTAGAGGACCAGCCAAGGGCCTGTTAAAGATAGAGCTTCAAGGTGAAGACACAGAGCCTATCTCTCCGGTTCTTTTTCCTGAAAAGAGATCATTTGTGACAAACTCTTTAAATAACACTTTATAACTTACATGTATTAAATAATCAGGAGACATGACAACAGATTTTGATATAAATGTTAATCTTACTCAGGTCAGAGAAGTTGCTTAGAATTTACAGAATTCAACTGCTCACCTCTCAGGAAGTGGCCCCGATAAACAGTTAAAGAGGCATTTCATACATCTCCAGTCTGTCACATCATCACATCATTACACCATGCACTTTAGCAGATGAGGAGACATTCATGGCTCCAGCCTTATCAAAATATTACACTTTGTTCTTAGCTGAAGGACACCGCTCTCATTCCATTTCCAAATCTTTCTGTCTTAATTAGATAAACTATTGTGGAAAACATCAGTTCTGACACGCAACAGGCAGCTAATATGGCATCCACTTTTTTAACTGTGCTGGACTATGGTGATATATTATATATGCATTCATCTGCTCAATGCCTGCAGATGATAGACGCAGCCTATCACGCATCATTGAGATTTACTAATTGTAAAGCTCGCACCCATCACTGTGAGCTGTATTCTCGTGTAGGGTGGTCTGCCTTGGCTACACGGAGGCTTTGTCATTGGTATATATTTATATATAAGGCTATTCTTGGTGCGCTTCCATCTTATTTATGTTCACTTCTTATGAAAAAAAGTACTGGTCATTACTCTCTCCGTTCTCAGGCTGTTGTCTTGTTTTCTGTCCCACGTGTCAGTACTGAGCTGGGTAAAAAGGCCTTTGCTTACTCTGCTCCCTTTACATGGAATTTGCTGCAAAATAACATGAAACTTAGTAAATTGGTTCCTTTGAATACTTTTAAGTTGAGAATTAGATGTTTTGAGTTAGACTCCCTCACATGTCAATGTTTTAATTGAAATTTTATTGTAAGTGCATATTTGGCTTTTATGTGTGTGTCTTTAATACGTATGTAATGATGTGATGTAATTTTGATGCCTATCTTGGCCAGGTCTCCCTTGCAAAAGAGATTTTTAATCTCAATGGGTATTACCTGGTTAAATAAAGGATAAATAAAATAAATAAAAAAAATAAAATATTGAGGTGTAATAAACTCACACATCATCAATGATAATTATCCTGGTTTGTAGCTGGTCTGTCTGACATAAAGATGACCCCTCTATTAGACATTTATATTTTAGATATTCTTCTGTGATTACATGAAAGAGGGGAGTCCTGAAAGCATTTATTGACCTTGGAGTTAGGATATCAAGGTAAACCGAGTGTGATTTAAAAAGATATGCAACTATTCTCAAGACCTGCCTTAGCCTTTTGAAAGCTGCGTATATATTTAACAAGTATTCTGGCTAATGTGACTAATTTGTATTCGTTTGCCATAGTAAAAATGTAGATTGGGTAAAAACACTGCCAAATTAGATTGGTTGGTTTAGCCAAAAGATAGATTGAACACATAACTCCCAACTGGATTAAAACCAAAAACCATGGAAAAGTTATTATGTTTGAATAAAAATGAAGGTCACCATTTATTTTGCTCATCATTGTCCAATTTGCACAAACACTTTCACTGTCTTATTTTACAGTAAAACTGTGTACCTTAAATTATTTTTCTTTTCTAATATACACTATTTTACACACCGATCATTAACAATTTAATGTTTGTATTTTATTACATTTATTTTGTCATAATATATAAAGAAAAAAAAACTGAAAATGTTAGAACTGTAAATTTACAGTCTGTTGTTTATATTACTGTTTATATATATTGTTTACTATTTTTTCAAGGCTGCACTATTGAAAAAATTAAATTGTCCAGAGCTGTTCTAAATTAAATTAAATTTTGTTTTACACATGTGTAAACACAATGACAAATAAATATGTCTAAGTCTAATTTCAAAGAAACTTAAATGGGAAAAGTATTTGCAAAAAAATCACAGATTTTATTTCCAATTGTAGTTCTGCAGTCCACCAATAGGGGGAGAGATTTCCCCATGAGGCTTCATGAACTGTGGGGATCGTAAAAGGAATTTGACCAAACGGGTCAATAATGCCTCATGAGGCTTCATCTCCCCATCACTAATTTTAACCAATCCCTCCTCTGAAACTGTCTCTGGACATATATTTTCTTAAACATACTCAAAACTGGGTGGTTAATCTGAGTTTATTGTGAGGTAACCAGCGGGCAGCCTACCTTTCAGAAGTGGTTGAAATGTCGGGATCTCTTGGAGCTTGATCACATCGGGATCATTGTGGATATTTCTCATGGACTGAGTCCCCTGCGCCACAACCACTATGTCATCCATCTTCGCCTTGTGCCGCGCCGGAGAAGGCACCGCTAAAATGATAGAAAATCCACCAACATGACTCATTTAGAAGGACAAACGAGATAAATAGATCGATTTTTACTGATTGTTATGCTTCACTGTGAAAGTTGTTTTTGGTTTGGTTCTTAAAACATGCTGGAACTGATGGGGATCTCACCAGATGAGCTGTAATCGGTGTGTTTATGTTCCGCATCTCCGCTCTGCTCGTTACCCATGTTGCTAATAGCAGACTACCAGCCCTTTCTTTAAATTAAATCACCCCTCCGGAGACCACAACACGAAATATAGATTATAAAAAGCCAGAGTGGATCAAAGCGTTACAAGTTTTTAAATACACTCGAACTACAAAAGAATAACACCTCCATCCTGCTCCGGTTCCTCTTGAATGAACCAGAAGCAGGTAGTCTGTTAACTGCGGGGCTTCCTACGGAAGCTCAGTCGCAGCGGATAATAAAGATGCTTCTTCTGATATTAATAAACCTTAATTGCAATATGATTTTTTTGTTTTGTTTAGAAGATCAAAAACAAAAGACTTGAACTGCTGATGTTACTTTCACTTCCGTAAATACCAAGCTCGGAGGAACGGTTTGACTCGTTACCGCCCCCTGCCGCTGAGGATGTTTCATCCTCTTCTTCTTTGTTAGATTCTTCTTCTTCTATGGTTTTTTTATGGCAGTTTACAGACTATACATATACATGTGTATTACCGCCATCAACTGGACGGAGATGTTTTTCTGGGAAAAAAATCCTATATATCTTCAAATCTTAAGAAAATAACTAAATTAAATACATACTTATACACTCACACACACATAAATACTAAATCCTTTTATCTAATTTTGTGTCTTTTAAATACTTAATAAGTGCATTAACTATATCATGTGATTGATGCTTCCATAAGTTAACCATATTTACTGTACTCCCCATTACCCTTTCCAGTTCTTTCCTCTCTTTTATATTTTCTACAATAAATTAACACATATTCTACTCCTTCTGTTTCCCAACAATAAGAATAATCACCTGATGGATGTTTCCCTATCATTTTTAAACCACTATTTAAACTAGTATGCCCATGTTGACCCATACTTCCTCTCTCATACTCATTATACTATAATTTCTTATGATTACCTCCTTCTGTATTTCATGTAAATGCCTTCGTCTTTCTTCTAAATTCCATCTCTCCTGCCATATATTATTTTTTTTATCTTTAATACTTACTTTTATTTCTGCTCTACTTAATGGGACATCATATTCAATTTCTCTTGCTTTAACTGCTTCTTTAGCCAACTGATCTACTTTTTCATTACCTACAATTCCTTTTTGTGCTGGAACCCATGTGAATTGAATACTTATTTTTTGTTGTTTTATACCATATAACAAATAACTAACTTCATCTAAAAGATCTTGACAGGTTTCAGATTGTCCACTTATAATACTTGTTAAGCAAGACATTGAATTTGAACAGATAACTACGTAACACCCATTGCAATGCCAAAATAAATAAAATAATTGCCAACATTTCTGCTGAAAAAAATCTTTGTTAGATTGGCGGGGTGCGAACAACTTATAAGTGCATACCGCCACCTACTGTACATGAGTGTGTAGCTCTATTGTTCCACCTACTATTAATCTATTTTTTATTTAAGTGTTATGTAAAAATAAAAACAATGCTTTATTAATAACCAAATATTCTTTCCCATCTCCATCTGTCCCTAAAATTCCTTTAATACTCCATTCTCTCCCTTTTTCCATAATTACTTTCCTCATCTTCTCTCTTTGAATTGCATATTTAATGCAATCAATCAAAACATGATCTACATTTTCTTTTTTATTTCACAACCCTCATATATATCATTATTTCTCTTTCCTAGTACAAACAAAAAACTCATTCAAGTAGGTATGTCCAGTTCTCACTCTAGTATGAATTATCTACAAGAGGAAAACAGAGGAACAACTGGCACAAAACAACGTCAGAGATGAGTGGAGGGGTCTGAATAACATCTCCAGCTTTGGGCAGAGGAACACCACCAGCAGGGCTGCAGGGACATCAAGTCTGCTGACGGGCTTAACAGGTTTTTAACACAGTTTGACCCCCCTCACACCACCCCCCGCCCTCTCCTCCACTCTTTACTGTCTCCAATGCCGACTAGGCAAGACATGGCTCAACAGGGGGATTAGCTCAGATGGTAGAGCGCTCGCTTAGCATGCGAGAGGTAGCGGGATCGATGCCCGCATCCTCCAGTTCTTTTTTTTCTACGGTTAGTTTGAATCTTTTCTTTGGATTTGGGCGAATCTTTAAAAATAAGCTGTAATAAACCACTAATATAGAATAAATAACATACAATAGTGTATATATATATATATATATATATATATATATATATATATATATATATATATACACACAATATTTATTACATGTATAAAATACTTAAAGTTGAAATGAGCAAATTATGGAAACGCTCCCGATGTCTTCAACCCCCAGGACACATAGACCTACCCTCCCCCTCACCACCACTCTCACCAACCCTCCACCCACTCACACCCTCTGCCATGCCTCCCTCCCCCCTCACAGTCACAGCGATGCAGTTGAGAGGCCAGCTGAAGGGACTTAGACAGAGGAAAGCCTCTGCACCAGACGGGATTCCTCCAAGCTGATGTAACGAGTACATTTCTCCACTGTGAGATCAATAAAGTCAATCAATCAATCANACCAGATCATCCAGTAAGATTGATTCAAAGTTTTCTATCTCAGGAAAACCAGTTGATTGCATCGACTCATTGACTCAAAGGCAATTGCTCACACTAAGAATGACTGTAGCAACAGTAGAGAGGAAAAACTCCAGCAGAACCAGGCTCAGTTAGCATCCATCTGCTGAGGCTGACTGGGGTTCAAGGAGACAAAAGCAGAGATACAAAAGGCAAGTGTAAAAGGCGGCCCCGTCCAGGAAACACACAGCCAGGCAGACGAGCAACGAGCCAGCTCCCATGTTAGAGGATGAAGAGAGCACATCCAGCCAGTCACAGTCAGAGAAACAGGCTGATCTCCAACATCTATAAACAAAGGCGTTCATGGCAGCAGCGCAGCTGATATTTCTCTCCAGGATGGAGTTACAGCCAAACAGGAACAGACCAGATGAAGCTATGAGAAAAAGCAGACGTATTAGAGATTGAAATAACAGATTCTGCAGAGTGGGAGAATATCCATCTGTTTTTAATATTTGAATATATATTAGCCCCATGTTTCTTTCATCAGAACATCAAAATGTGCAACAAACACAACATTAGTCCTCTCCCCCGCTAAACAATGCTACTGTGCTGTTATTTGAAATTAAATATTGTCAAATAGGGGTGGATCTAAATGGGGGAACAGTGGGGACCATGCCCCCCTAGCCAATTATTGGCCACCCCTGTGGCCCCTCCCTACCAGGTGATTTGTTGTTCTTGCTGGGATATAATTCACCAGCACTGGAACAAACAGAAGAAATAGTAGTAGTCTCAAGATGGCGCCAAGCATGCAGCAGCCTGTTACATGGGCTCTGTGTTCTCCTTTCCTACTTTCTCCATTCTATATTGTTTTTGGAAATTTCTTTGTGTTAGTGAATATTGTATCTGATATTCTGAAAGTATGAGCACACAGGACTCCAACTTCTGGGACTACAGTATAGTGCTGAGCTCACAGTTTGACCACCCTCACACCAGCCCCCTCCCTCTCCTCAACTCTTTGCATGTCTCCAACCCTCACCGCCACTCTCACCAACCCCCCCACCCACTCACACCCTCTGCCATGCCTCCCTCCCCCCTCACAGTCACTGCGATGCATTCGAGAGGCCAGCTGAAGGGACTTAGACAGAGGAAAGCCTCTGGACCAGACGGGATTCCTCCAAGCTGATGTAACAACTAAATTTCTCCACTGTGAAATCAATAAAGTCAATCAATCAATCAGCTGACTGAAAATAACCTCCAGCTTCTGTCTGAGTTTATTTACTGCCTGTCACAACCGGCCATTATTTCTATTGTTATCAGCTGCCCTGGAGCTTCCTTCTTTTACGTCAGTGACCAATCCCACCCGTTCCCCGCCTACAGTCAGCCAATCAGGTGATTGTTGTAAGTTCACAGTGAGTAACACTGCAGAGTTGCTAACTCAAGTGTGAGGCCTTGGTAAGGTGTCTCTGCTGTTGTCAAAAAACTGTCTTTAGAAGTTGTAAGAACACATCTGTCATTGATGCACGGGACAAGGAATAAGTTCTCCTTTTTTCAAAAAATGGCTCAACAGGGGGATTAGCTCAGATGGTAGAGCGCTCGCTTAGCATGCGAGAGGTAGCGGGATCGATGCCCGCATCCTCCAGTTTTCCTTTTCTACGGTTAATTTGACCCTTTTCTTTGGATTTGGGGGCATCTTTAAAGATAAGCTGTAATAAACCATTACTATAGAATACATAACATATGGTAGTGTATATGTATAATATTACATGTATAAAATACTACTAAAATACATGTATAAAATACTAAAATATTACATGTATAAAATACTTGAGATGAGCAAATTATGGAAACCTACTGATGAGATCATATTGGTTTCTGAAAGCTGCCGCAGCTTTTACATTTTTCTACACTATTACAGCTAAAATGTTTTAATGTTGTCATTTATTATATTCAAGAAGAAGAGTTTCCTCCAGATGTCTTATATCCTGAAATGTAAGCAAACTCTAACTGTAAGGAAGAGGACATCAGGGCAACTGAAGTTAAAGACAGTGAAGAAGATGTAGCACATAGAGCCACCACCAGGGGGAGCACTGCTCTTACAAATGTCAGTCCTGCAAATGAAGCCAGAGTTCAAATCCCAGCCAGGGGAGCCTCTGCAGCTGCAGCAGGGGTGAAGCTATACGTGAGAGGATTTCAGTAAGAAGTTGGCCTGAGTCTGGCTGTCTGATGCAGAACAAGTTTAATGCTGTAATTACCCAGAAACATGAAAACAAGACATTGTGTATAAAAAATATTGAACTACAATTTCTCACCAGCTTCTTGTTCCATCTCTGTCTCCTCATTCTGGCCTGTTCCTCCGTCTCTGCTGTCTCTTCCTGTTTTTGCTGCATTCACACATAAACCAGAACAAATTACTATTATCCAGTGTTAAATGATACCATTGAACTGTTTCTAGTTGTTCTCTCACCTGAGCTGTTCTACTGCCTTCTGAAAAAGGACAAAAAAAAAAGTATGTTTGTTTCTAAATTAAGCNACACAGAGATAAAAAATTTAGCCCCAGCCTCCAACCAGCCAATCAGTGAACACCTCATCTTCTTGTGGACCAATCACGTCCCAGTTTTGGGCTTACTTTGGACCAATCACTTTTCACCTTCTGGATTCTATAGAAACCCTCTGAGAAAGCTGAAGAGCTGTCATCATGTAGTTGACAGGAGCTGGACTGCTTTTACAAGCCCCAAGTTTAAACATATTGTCTTTATAACTCCTCAATATGTGACAGATTGGACCTCAATAACTAATTAACATAACAATGTTATTAAAATTGAATGATCATAATTCTATTAATTATAAATGCCTGAGGTGAAATATGGACAT